TGGAAAATGTAGTCTAGCTTAAAATTCTCCGCACAAGCGTGAATGCGTCATGGTCGTCCCTGCATTCGCTGTTGATTCGTTCCATGATTTGGTTATACAAGGCGGTCAGCCCGGTCGGAAACTCATGGGTTAGTTTATTTAATTTATCGTGGGTCAAGCTATGGCGCTGTTCTTCTGCCCGCCTCACTGCCAGTGTCACCCAAAGGAACATGCCACCCAAATATGTAGGTTATCAGCGAACAAAATGACCGGCTTATTTGTAGATCGAGTCCATACCTTTGGAATTTTCCACCAGTTCCTTCTGCAGCTTCAGTGTCTCCCGTCGACTTAGTCGATATCGTTTCTTGAGGCTTCCAAATCGATCAACTACAAAACTGAAACACTTATATCAACCCTCCATGAAATATACCAAAACATAGCTAGAACCTTCAATCCCTAGACCGAGAAGAAAAGCATGGAATAAGTGCATCGTGAAGTAGGAATGTACCGCTCAATATCGCCTTTGTTGAATTCTGACATAATAGCGAGATGCAAAGCATGCCCTTCAAGCCCCTCCTCAATGTATGCTTCAGTACAACTGGACAAGATGATCTCCAACTTCAGACCAGTATCACGTCTTCCAGTAAAGTTGGTAATAACGATAGAAACACCTCGACAGAACCTCAGCCGCACTGATCAAGAGCATCAATAACTATCACCAGCTCTTTAAGATTTAAAGTCGTAACTATAGTAGTAAATATCCTCCATAGCCTCTCGAACGAAATGAACAGCCATCAATTGTCCAACTTATTTCGAAGATTTTATTGAATAGATGTGGTCTACACGTCAAAAGTTGATGAATTAGAGCCCGTATGATTGATCTTGCCGTCTCTCCTATCCCGCGTCTGCGGTTATTGCAAAAGTAGTAGATAACTTGTTTCGGTTCTTCAAGGGAAACCTTCAGAAGTTCTTGTAGAACGCTTTTGACTAGAACGCTTTTGCCAGTCCCTGAATTCAGATCAGTCAAATACTACTACAATCAGGGACACACACCTGGCTTCCCATGGATATATAGGCATGATCTAGGCCGGTTCTGCCAAAGCTTGAAATGCTCTTGCTCCTAGATCCATTGAAATTTTTCCTTGCTCGCATTCGGGATCTGGAGTAAGTCTTGCTCATAGTCAGGTGTATCTAGAACTTGAAGAAAATCTATATGTTTAGTCAACCACAACTCTCTGAGCCCCATACTTCGCCGCAGCCCTTACTATCGCAATTTTTCTGCTGGAAAATATCTATTCCGGGTCAGTGACCGCTTTGCTAAGAACATTTGACACGTCCAGTCCCGAGACCTCACAATTCCTGGTATTGAGCCTCCACCACGAAAAAATAGGTACAAACGATTGGGGGGAAATACGGTCCTTTAAGTTGTCGAACGGATTCTAGCCCCAATTTCAACATATGCTGGGTCTCATTTTCATTGAAATCAAACAGTTCATTCAGTGTTATTGAAGGATTATCCAGATGTTTTGCTACCGCCGATGCCACGTTCCGGTTGAGACACCCGGTGGTCTTTTGCCGTCGTGCGGGCGCAATCCGAACCTGTGAGAGTGCCTCCGCGCTCAGATCGTACAGCCAGATCGACTGTCCCGATTCCCGATTCTCCGTATGTTCGAGCTTTCTTAGTAGTGGTGGAGTCTATTTTGCTAAATATGGTAAACATCTGATTAATACGCCAAAGATTGAGCAAACGCACGATATGATTCCAGTTGTCAGCGCGAGGCACTCGCGATTTTTATGTTGCTGAAGCCGTTGTATCGCTTCGCTAATCTCCTTCGCAGCCCGTCTAGTTGCACTAACCTTCTCCCCGGACTGATACCATGTAACTACAGCTTCCAAACTCGCAAGTTCTTTTCGACAGCTCTTCAGAGCAATGGCTATAGAACTCTGTCCGTCGTGGCCTTCGGGCCCAGTGATACCGCCAACCTCCATGAGAACTGCGTTAAGGACTTTCAACTCGTCGCTCAATTGTTGCAGCCTTGTCGGAGTGTTCTTTATCGAACCAATAACTTCCAGAATCCTTTTGGTCATCTGGGCGGTCACTGTTGCAATCGCTATCACACTAGATATGCCTCCGATGACTGCTTCCATGTTGTCGATTGTTCAATGGTCGTGATATGAAAAGGCTGAGCTCGCAGCTGGACGAAGTGGGGTTTTATAATTGAAAAAAAGGATGCTGAGAGTCATGTAAGATATGCAAGAACTCAGTCCCCATCAGTAGCGGTCTCAGCACGGTGCACATGGCTGACAATATTATACCCCTCGCGATCAGCCGTTAGCTCAAGTTGTAAGGTGCACGAACAAAACGTAACCAACGAGGTTGTTTGCTTGGATCCACCCTCGAAACATGGAAATACCCCTCATAGCTTTCCCAGCCAATTGCATTCCATCCCTAAAACGGGATCCTGGAGGAGTTTGTATTATGCAAGCTCAGGGAGGCAGAGAGAACAAGGCGGTGCAAAAGAAGCAATGTTGGAATTGGCAGCAACGTGATTAATTCATATCGAAAGGACCGTCGACATTTCGTTCAATTTATGATAAGAGATAATGAACTAGCCTACGTATGAGAAGATTCACTGTAGGAGGAGGAGGTTGACCATCCAACGTCATTAGTGTCACAAGTAAGCACTCGAATATTTATGCAGAAGAACAGAACTCGGCGCGTCTCCGGACTATCATCCTCACTATCACCCCCATTATCACCAACGGCAAAGTTGAAACATGTTTTTCAAGAATGTTTTTGATGTTTTGTTGTAATATTAAAGCATTAGTGTAGAGTATTAACCTCTCTCATATTCTCTCCTGCCCAGCTCGAATTTCTCACTCGTGGTTGCTGCCTGAAGAACAAAGAGGTTTAAGTATTCCACTTATTGGCACATCCAAGGCCCTCCTAATTGAACAGTGCTTTGGCAAGCGATAGTTTTACATGTTCTCGGCAGCAGTTCTAGGGTTCAGTCCTTATGAATGACCCTGTGCAAAGACCAATACTCAAAATTTGTAGCAAGCAGCAGTGTGCTTGTAGTTGCTTTCACGCTTCGCATAAAAAGGAAATATTCGGCAGCACAGTTATGTACTGATATCATAGAACCGTTAGTTAGGACGGATAAACTTGAAAACCTGAAATTAGGTATCACAACTCTAGAATATAGTTATGTGTATAAATGATAAAGCAATAGAGTCCTCTTTGTCCCCTCACAAAGGGATTCAATGCCACCCTCGATCTGGTAAAAGATAGCCTGCTGTTGTAGTTAGGGTGATAGTGGGGGGGTGACAGTGGAATGATAGTGGGGGTGATAGTGGAGTGATAATGAGGGTGATAGTCCGGAGACGCGCCGAACAGAACTGGGCTCAATATGCAGTAATAGTCTTTAGTATAGTTTGACTTACGACCTATGATAGGGCCTCACCATATCATGTACGACAGATTCAATAGAAGATCTGTTTCCTGCTTGTTGGATATTGAAACGAGTCATGATAAATATCACTCGACATCCAGCGATATGCATTTCTAACCTAGCAAGGGTCGCATGGTATTTTTGACTACAAAGCACAGCTATAGTTTCTTACTCCTTGTAGCCTCGAATGCAGTGTACCACAATACTAATCCGAGACTATCCCCACAGTGTTAATGTTGTCCAATACGGACTTTATATATAGCAAGGCAAAGATGTCGACTCCATGTGACACCATAATCAAGCCGTCTGCCTTGCACTACATTTTAAAGTAAGACCGGAAGACGGCTCATGGACATTCGCTTCGAGGCCTCTCAATTGACGGTACAAAAATAACGCGGTATGACAAATTTAGAAGGATACGTATTCGAGCCTTTGATACTCGAGCTATTCACATCTAATATCCAGACTTCACCCTTGTTCCAAACCTTTCACCAATATGTCCACCGTGGAAGATGGAACATCACAATAGTGGTGTTCATCAGTTCAAGCTAGATTATGCAACAGAATTTTCATGCTAGGTGATATTTCATCTAGCATGACTCTGGTTGCCAAAGATGAGGCCGGCTTTGTGGCCTTTCGGCGAGTGCCTCTACCGAAGCAATGGCGATCTAGAGATAGTGACGTAAATGAACCAGCGGAGATGGAAGCGAGCCAGTTGGCCGAAAGACTGAGAGGCAGGGAGCCGGGGCGGGGGCGGGGTCGAGGGAAGTCCGATGGGTTAGGAATTGAGTAGATCGACACTACTACGGAAGCCTGATTGCATCGAGCGACTTTAGAGCTGGTTGCACATACCTTGAATTGGATTTGCCACCCCTGTGAGAGCTGGCATTTCGAGTTGTTTGGGTTTCACACTCGCATTCGAGTACTCAGGGTGGGTGGGATAGTCTCAATGATCTCTCGGTGTCGTGTATGATATACGTAACCCACTAGCGGCTTCCCGGGGCTCCGTTCCAACCCATAACCCTATCGTCGGCTCTAAATTCCGCACTACGGGTGCTAACTTGTCCCTCATTTTCCCCGCTTCTCTACAGGGTACATTGCGTTAGTGCTGGCCTCGCCAGATTTCGGTCCAGTGGCCACCAGACTATTGGTTGGGCTGTTTCGCCACAAGACTCGGCCTCGACTCGATCGCTTAACGGCCCAGTCTTCATCACTCAGCGTTTTGTGAACAGTGCTGTGGCCATTATCCAATGAGTCTTTGTGCATCAGCTCCCCTCTTCCATAAGCATATTATAACGCTCGCTACTGGATAGCTATTAGCACGATATTTGATTGAAAAACACGACATCTTCATGTAGTCTCGACTGCTTGTGTACCACAATACTAATCTGAGACTATCTCCATAGTGTTTATGTTTTCCAAAGTATGTATGTAGTGAGAGACCAAGACTCCGCGTGGTAACAACCTATGCCTGGCTCCTAGGTTGCGGAACCGTAGCCAAGAGCCGTATGTATACACACAATCATATACCATCACTCGGCAGTGAAGTACAGGGCTAAAAAAAAATATTGACAGGAGTGGGACTTGAACCCACGCTCAGTTTCCCGAACCAGGAATTTCCTATTAAGGTAACCTTAACCTGGCGCCATAACCAACTCGGCCATCCTGCCTATATGTAGTTATACAAATAAATTTTATATGATCAGTTTTTTAAGAAAGTAGCCACCTAGCCTGCCATCCTGCCGGTCAATAGACAGAAATCAAGTCTATAGACCGTCTGGGGTTAACCATACGAAAAGTTGGTGAATAGCTAGCATAGGAAGCCCCAATTCGACCGAGCGGGTGATGAACCGTGAAGCATTTCGGCAAACGTTTTCTAGCATAGACGCAGACCTCTGGATCAATGCAGGATAAATCGCCCTCTCCGTAATATCCCAGAAGAATTCGCACATGCTTTCAGGGCGAGGCTGTGTCTTACCAGTAACTCCGAGACAAAGCAATACTTAGAGACCTTCTATATTCTAGTCTTGAGAAGCAAGCGAGTTGGCATTAGTGTGGACACGATTAAAATATGTTGAAGTCGAGTGAAATGAGTATGTCCAGGAGTAGACACTGAAATAACTCGAATATAACCCTCTGGGTGAGTTACTATTGGCTACCATGCTGAAAAGCCTGGTATCTTGGCTGTAGGGATAACCAGACGAACTTATGATATGAGAGATGGTGGGTGGTCAACGGAATGGAAGATTACGTTCTTGATTTCTGCCAAGTGGGGTGGGTGGGGAAGGGTCTATAGCAGCTACGAATTTACGTATACTCGTGAAAATGATCTTATTGTGTTGGTTAGTTGTTGCCTCCGAAGCATATCGAGCTATCTTTCAAACGTTTTCCAACCAAGTTACCGAGTATCCACTAATGCTCGATAGTTGTGATTGTCACGTCGAGGATCCCCTGCGGTGGTGAAATTGCCGCATAGGATCGCAACAACAAGTGTTAAGCTGAACCTCAGCTCCACAACTGCCCACTACCAACAGGCCACACCATTACATAGCAGGAGTGATCCTATAATAACGATTAGCGGCTGTGCCAGAACGTTTCACTCCCGCCCTACACTAGTTGGCTTGATCCTAGGCACTGTTAGTGCTATCCACGAACCGGTTCGCGATATCGATCTGCGGAGTGATGTGTTATGATGTCGATTTCGTGGTGTGCTATGATTCATCAATAGGTTTTACGGACTCAGTTGCCACCCTGTTGCCACTATCAAGATATGAGATTGTGAGAGTTTGAACCTCCTCGGTTCGTGAATGACATTATCACGTCCTTATCCGCTCCTCCGGACCGGTAGCCTCGCTGTAATCAGCTCGATATTATTTTCTTTGTATTTTGTGATACATGTAAGAAAATTCCGTTCCGTCGAGGCTCCAATGGATGACGAAAGTTGAAGTAAATATTGATATCACAAGCAATAGTTCAATGCCCACGCTTGCTCAATCGATTGATGCTCAGGTGTTCCAACAAGCAATATTTTTGAGCTGATATTGGCTTTCTTTCTGCAAGCTGAGTTTCAACAACATTCGACCCCATTGAAAAAATAAGTTCTCCGGCCGAGTTCGAGTGACTGGCATGTTGCGGTCCCACTATAGATAAAGTACTAAGAGTACATCCCCCCAACGGCGCTCGAACCTTTCTGGAATCCTGCCGACTGGAATTCGAACGGTTGAGCTACATGCGTACACTTCCCCAGATCCAGAGTAAAAAAAAAGCAACAATTACCGCAGGTGATGTTTTCCCAGGAGTATTCATATTTTCCGTGCCACATCAATTTCTCCGAATTTCAAATAATGTCACCCCCCCTCCTTTCTCGCCTTCAAACCTGGGATCGGGTGGGCTCGCCCGAATTGGACGAAGTAGATTGTACACCTTGCATAAAAACCGCAAAGTTTCTTGGGGGTTTTAAAACAAGAAAACGTACGTAAAAAGATCAAAAGTATTGATTTTGATAGGTACATCCCATTCATACCCCGCTGCTTCCTCCGAACGCCGTGCTCTCTTAGCAACTATAAGCCTCCAAGATCTCTACTGTTGGAGCTTTGAGAAATAAGTTATGTTATGAAGTTATGGATGTTTTCAATTTGCACTCTGTCCTATTGGTACATACGAGTCCGGCTATTCAATTTTACTTGGTGCGTTGCATTATTATCCAGGCGAACCACCACTATTCCTAAACACATGCATGCGCATGAGCGAGGCGGAGGAAGCCGATGGAAAATCCACTGATCGATCGGTCGATCCATCAAGGCTACATATTACAGATGGGATTAAAGGGATATTGTCATGGACTGGTGTAATTTTCATTACATCCAGTTATCTCCATAAACATCAGTGAAAGATTGTAACGTCGGGATCGTTTTCTCTGTACCGGCAACGGAGTCATAACAGTCGAGAAAGTCCTCGAGTGCGCCGATAGACATAATCCACGGCTGATCGACGCCAGGTATGTATCAACTGCTTATCCGCTCACATTATGACTATGTACTACCAGGTTGTTGGATATAGTGGGCTCCAAGGAGATATATCCAATGAATTAAGAGATATGTCAGCGGGGTATTTAATGTGTGAGGGGGAGGTGAACGGAGAGTATCGTCTGAGGGAGGGGGAGGGCTCTTATCGTTCATAAGCACGACCTGGCCCTTGCGTACTGACTGACATACCTAGAGTTTCACAGTCAATTTGAATATCGACATTCGACTCCGTGTGCTGTAGAACACAAAAGTAGCGGTGTAGCTGACCAACTACCAGGACCAGGTTACATGACAGCGGGCTGTCCTAGTGCCGGATTAATGAGACCGACAATGTCATTACCTCCCATCATTTTCCGCAGCCGTTTTATAAAAACGTCTTTGAGAACCATGGTTCATATCATAAGCCAGATCATATGCTGAGTTACAATCGCGATAGCGACCTATTAAGCTGGAAATCAATTAAGTGGACTGGTCACATTTTTCCCTCACTTTCCTGCGACTCAAAATCACGAAATTGAGCTTATTGATACCTGCGGTGTGATTGAGGCGGAGTTGCACGAAACGGCCAGCGGTGGTGGTGTTATAATAATATGGGTAAAGGTGGTTTCGAGTGTGAAAAAGCTCGCGCGCACTCCATGTGGTCCACCACCTAGTGTAGTTGCACTAAGGCAACCCAGTTCCCAACGGTCCACTGAAAGAAGTTGGACGGTCCGCTGCCGGGGGTGCTCCTCCACTACTCGAACCGTGCGCCGTCTGAAATTATATTCCAAGTTTCAGCTAGTAGAGAAAGCATTCTAGCTGTTATTTTCTAGGCTGCGTGCCGGCTTCCGTGAGAAGCGAAGGAGCTGAGAGGCTTCAGTGGTGCCTCGACTCATCTAGCCCTGTGTAGGTGCTTTCTTCCTCCCAGTCATCATAGCCTCGGGATGCACTCACTAGGGTGATCTGAGACTATAATCATCACTATTGCACATGAATGTACCTCACACGAGTTTCTACCAGCGGATAACTAAGCGTCAAAACTGGTCGCCTTTAGAACCGGGCCAACTCTCGTCCAGGATGATTAGGATTGCCTAGTTGAGATCATATTACCTGCTCAAAGTATACCATTGGGTCTGTTGTGAGTCTGTTGATTAAAAGAAAAGATGCAAACTATAGTCACTATGAGCTAAGTACATTTGCATTTGCAAATGGGCGGCTAGAGTCGTAACGGTGATGCAGTGACGCCTGCCGCCCACCTAGTAAAGCCCCCGCCTTAAACTGAATTTGCTGAAAACAGGTAAAAAAACACCATTCGAAAATTGGAAGATTAAAAACATAATTTATGTAGTATATAATTTGAAGCTGGAAATGACTATAATTGTAGTCAGTGGCATATAGTCTGCCACATGCGAGTTGGGAAATTAGAGTCTTTGATCGAGATTGTGCCTAAGTCGAGATCGCCAATCAGATTTCACATGGAAACAGGGCACCAACAGGATCTGTAGCGTTTCCCTTGAAAATCTCGACTTAGGCACAATCTCGAGTTGGGATCAAAGACTCTACTTAGGAACTCCCATCGGTGTCCGTATAGCACGTGACTGCCAAGAAATGAAATTTTAACCCTATTAAATACATCTATTTTTATGGGTGCATGTTAAAAATCTGGCCGAGTTTAAGGCGGGCTCTAGTAAGTAGTATAAAGAGTATAGTGGCATCTTTGTTGCGCCTGCATCTCTTGCGTGCGTATGCTTTGTTTTCTCGGAGGTCGGGGGTGGCGGGGAAAAGAAAAACAAACCAGCAAGTCTGCCAATCACCTTCGCCCTTTCAGCACAACGGTTTGAAACTGACCAGCCATTTGCTGTGATCTGGCCCAACAGACGCCATTTCCCACGCTATCCAATTAACCAACCCAGCGCCGATTCCCAGTCACTAAGATCGCTCAAGGGTTTATTACTATCGCTATCTTAAATATGGTCGCAGACACCAGACACCGGCGCCGGGGTATTTGACCATACCCATGGGTTACTATTCTAGTGGCAAAACCCTCGCTTGGAACTCGGTTGCGCGTAAGAATGTCATCCATCGAGAAGGTCGAAATGGTAGATCATCTCTAGGTTTATGTAGGAACATATCCGCTAGGCGCCACCCTCTTCCCCTAAATTTAGGCGACATCCTGGATCCAAACAAAAGCACCTCCATGTAGGCTAAGGATGGGAGTTGAGACCACTGGACCATCGATGTAGACAATCAAAAGATGTACTAAAGACAGCAGTAAATAAGCATCAATAAAGCGGCGGACAGCATAACTAAAATAAAGAGCTGTGGACAGTTCCCGAATTACAAATTTACATTGCTCTAGGCTATGTATTTGTAGGAACATGAGCTGAACCAGATTGTTCCGTGCGTCAAACATTTCGGCGACGGCGGTGGTGATTTAAGTGAAACATCCATTGAGTTTGACAGCTTGCCGAGACATGTCTCAGTTCCAGTACTGTTGGTGTTTGTGTATAAAAGTTTGCGATAACGACAACACCCGCCTCCAACACGAGCAATGTATTTCACTTCCAACTTACCAAAACATCCAAAACATCCACGATCAAACAGAGAAACAAGCTTAATAACCACACCTTCTAGACTTTCTTCTTGCCCTGGTGCAGGATGCCGTG